TCCATATAAACATCAAAGACTCGTATCTATGACCGTGTACACACAATAGAAGCTTACATACAAACACCCAACATCACCTAGAGGCTAGGATTAAGCATAATTTAGGTTGGTGCTAAAATAACAATCCACTATGTGTCATAACTCGCCTGTACCTGGACTGTTATCCTCCATCTGAAGAGGAATTATTCTGTCAAAGAGCTAAATTATTTGTTCTCTTTGCACTTTCAGAGAAAAGCAACACGATGTGTGCTGAACCACGCCTGCACTAGGATTGTGTTTAGTCTAAGCAAGTATTTGCTTTGGGAAAAGGTTGCAGTCTGATATGTTAAACGTATCTGGTCGGGAAAAAAAGCCAGTTTAGATGAAGGGAATTTAATGTGAATATCAACTTATGTTACTTGTCATCTAATGTTTTTATTTAAATATGCTGCAAACTCTACATTTCTCAGCTCAAAGACCTTTTGTTAGCCTTCCTATCCCATTGTTAAAAGTATTCACTATATGTTTGTATCTGAATACCTGCAAAGTTTTGTCTTACAGTTAAAAATAAGTGTGTAGAAATAATAAACATTTGTTTAATGATTTCAAAAGTGATGTGCTCTGTTATTGTAGGTCATTTCTAGTCATTTCTAGTAGATGATCTTACAAGCTTTAGAAATAAATATGTCTATGAAGTCAATCAATATCAGTGGATTATGATGAGCTTTGAGTTAATAGTTGTGATAAACATGCACTTCCTCTGAAAGACTATAATAAATAATGAATTGAGCAATATAGGAGAAGCTGGCACCCCACCAGAAACAGCATATGATCAAATCAAATCATCAGTTTTTTCCAGAATTGTCTAGTGGTGTTGCACAAACTATTTCTAAAAATACTCAGTTTTAAAGTTAAGTTGTTATGGCGACAGTGTTGTATTGAGAGTGACTCAGCAGTCACGATGGTTTTTGAGTGTTGGTATTTTTGTCTGTTACTGGAATGGTTTCATTTTCTCCGCTAAGTAGAGTGGCCTGTTCTTTCCAGACCACAAGACTGCCCCATGACACAATAGAGGAGTCTCCTTTAGGTTGGTTGCTAGGCTTTGTAGTCTAACAGTGTGGAATCTACAGGATCTTCTCTATGGGGAAGTTTTATGGCGAAAATGTTGCATTTATTTCTCAGCTCCACCCTCTTTCTCACTGGTGACTTTCATTTTGATCCCCTCTCCCTCCTCTCCATTGGTTGCTTCTCTCATAGTCTCAACATCTCCATTTACTTTATCTTATGCCCTCATCTTTCATTTCAGATCCGATGCAGGAGGCTTAGATTCACTTTACAAGATCAGGATCAGTCAACCGGCAACTCTGAGCGTCACAGCAACAAGGTACAAAAACAGAGAAGAAACAGCTTTCTTTTCATTTGCTGAGTAAAAGAAAAAAAAAAAAGATTGGGACAACATTTTGATTTCTCCACTGAACGTAGGAGAACGTCGTCGCAGAAGGGCCAACAGAAGAGAAAGTTGAAGTCATTACGGTATGTGAGCTTGTTTTCAGTGTTTGTTAGTTTAATTGTGTACAAGCTAGTCCCTCTTTTCCTGCTTTTCTGAAGTATGTGTGCGCTCGCCTGTGTTATTTATCACAATCCTGTCATTTAGGTTTACCTGGAAGCCCGTCCAGAGGCAGCAGAGAGCGTCAAGATGCTGACGGACGAAGTGTCGCAGATTCAGGAGGTTAGTGAACCGAGCAACACTTCTTCTAACATGTCTAGACAATGAGTCAACGTTCATCCACTAGAAAACAACATTAGAGAGTGTGTGTTGATGGGTTGAAGAAGGGGGAAGGGGATTGTCATAGTTTCTGCATAAGTCACATGTGTTTGTTGCTTCTAGGTGAGGTACTGTCTGAAGACTCTGAGAGAGCAGATGGCAGCCAGACAAAACACAGACAACAACAAGGTGCACACCCCCCTGCATCCAGGATTAAGAAGTTTTTCTGAACCTAGTTTTGACACAAGAGAAATCCTTTTTAGTCAATGAAAAGAAAATGTATTGACAGCAAATATGATATTGGATTTATATATTGTTTACCAATAGGTGTGTATGTATTTAAAAGAGGTGTACATACTGTCTTTTGTTTGTGTTTCATGTTTTGTTTTCCAAAGTAGTACTGTAAAGTTAACTCAGTTAGGCCTGCAACAAATTATTTAGAGATGATTTTCATATATATATATATTAACCTATCATGCATATTATAAATTAGGTACAATTACACTGAGTCAGGGGTGCCAAACAGTAGATATATATATATATATATACCAGATTTGTGGGTGCACTATCACTTTACGTTGAAATGCAGTGATATCTATTGGTCCTTTACAATGTGTAAATGGTTTGGGTAAAAGGAGTAATCAAGCACTAACTCCCCCTCTTCACCTCATCTTCAGTATCCAGCCAATGGCTTCAGAGTCCATGTGCCCGGCAGCCAGCCAGCTGTCACCAATGGCAACACTGTTCTCCCTAAATCGGAAGCTCAGGTGAGCTTATCACAATTCAGCCCTCCATAACTAATGTTTGCTGTGGCTTTTATGATCCGACTATTCATCAGTTTAATGTGAATGAACCATGAGGAATGGCCGGAAACCAATTTCAGCCGAAACTGGTTTGAATGCATTCAAATCTCTATTTACACTGAACAAAAATATAAACGCAACACTTTTGTTTTTGCTCCCATTTTTCATGAGATGAACTCAAAGATCTAAAACATTTTCTACATACACAAAATAACCATTTCTCTCAAATATTGATCACAAATCTGAAAAAATCTGTGAGATAGTGGCACTTCTCCTTTGCGATATATCCATCCCACCTCCACAGGTGTGGCTTTCAGTGCTGATTTGACAGCGATGTGATTATTGCCGGTGGCCTTAGGCTGGCCCATAAAACAGGTGTGTTAGGGTACAGTGTTGGTGCTTCGGTGGGCCATTGTGGTGGTGGGTTCAGGGCCAGGCGTATGTTATGGACGATGGCACGGGCCACTTGATTCGACAACTTTACCTAATCCCTAACCCTAACCCTAATCTAACCCTCACACCAGATACTGATGTTTTTCGACCCCCCAGACGCACCCCTACCAAAGCAAATGATACTTCGGTGCCTTTCTTGTGCCGCCTAAGGCACCACCTGTGCATAATCATGCGTCTAGATCGCATCGTTGATTACCACACCTGTGATCGTGGATGGATTTATCTCGGCAAGGCGAAGTGCTACTATCAAAGATTTTTTCGGACTTTGTGAGTCATATTGAGGAAATGGTTTTTGTGTATATAAGAAATGTTTTGATCTTTGTTCATCTCCATGACAAAATGGGAGCAAAACAAATAGTGTCTAGGCGTTTATTTTGTTCGGTGTAGATACCTGCTGAACATTCATATTGAGCATGTCTGTCCTCCAGCCACACTCACCTATCTATCTAAGGAAATAGTGCCAGATCTGAGTGATTAAAGCTCCACACGCGCATTGCTTCACTCTACATTCTGATAACGCAACACAGAACACAATATTGTACTTCTCATCTTATTCTAGAGTCAGCCTCTGCCTGTAACACTACAGCGATTATTACAGAGGAACGTGGCGCAGGGAGCTATGTGGCTGTCCACCAGGCCTGTGGTGATGCAGTAAGCCTGGGATCAATTTACAGCTGCGCCTCCATGGAGATGGTACAGTAAAACCTGCTGCCATCAGCTGTTTCCACAGAATGTGATTCTATTTGTGGTGGGCCCGCAACCCAGGCAGAAAGCCAAAGGCCCTTCCTTATTCGAGTGGCCCGCGCATCCACTATTTAGTCGGTCCCGAGATCAGAAAGTTATTCTCTACCATTGACTTGCGTCCAATTTCTGTTGTCTAGATGCGTTACCTCTCGCTCGCCAACACCTGTTAACCCGTAGAAAACCGCTCTATCAGGCGCCTCTTTTCTGTTTTAGCTGCAGATATCGCGCCTCAGTTCAAGTGTCCGCCACTTGGCCTAATGGAGCGTGTCACTTTGTGTCTGGCCTGCTCTCCGGTCGGGATTAATCAGGCGGAGGGAGGTTGCGGCTCAGGGAGGCACCGCGTCGTGTACTCTCGCGAAGGAGATGGAGAAGGGCATCAGAGGAGAAGGAGAGAATTGAGGTTGTCTCCACACCTGATTTGAGTAGACCCGCCTGACGATTTCGTGTCTGCATCATGACTCACTCCTTGGCTGCTGTCCTGTTCATTTAATTCCCCTCATTATCTGGCCAGTCTTATCCTGGCTTCATCCCTCATCCCGACCCCCCCACTTGGGTCTTTGCCCTACGCAACATTCATCTGTCAGGTCGAGCCGGGACCCTGGCCCACTGCTCTAACATAGGCTCATCTGTCAGGACTGTAGCTGTGGTCTTCGCTAATCCCTTTTAGAGTCAGTGGCACCACTATATTGCCTGACATAGCGACAGAATCTGCATTGACATTTGTCTTGGGTCATTTAACTCATCAGGAAAACGTTAAGTTGTGATTCAGACCAATGAGAATGTGAACCACAAATGTTACAGTTTTTCTTTCATTATTTCCTTTATTGTAGGCTCGATTACTCTTCTTTTCTTTTCACATTGTGGGTTATTGTCACGCAAACTCAAAGATCAGGCCTTTTAGTATACATTACGCGCATATAGAGTATATTATATTGTCACTTTTCCAATGTGACACACAATAACGTATCTTTTAATATGTTTTTTCCTATAGTTATTAAGATAAAAACGAAACCAACTCATCCATTAGAGTTACGATTTCCCCGTATGATTCTATTACTGTACTTATTGTAGTGCCATGGGTTATGCATTTATATCCTTTCAGGGGCCTTTGGTTTTCCCTCCAAATTAATTGAATTCAAATTATCTGTTTAACTGTCCCTGCCTAAACTCCTGTAATCGATCATCGTGATTGAAAACAGTTTGGATGTGTGGAGCCTTTTGACCGGTGTCCATTCCCTTGTCACAGGAAGTATTTCTTACTCTGTGGCGTCCCCTTCACAGTAGAGGCAGAGGAGTGAGAGGAGGCTGGCGTCGTGTGCGGAGCAATTTCCGTTGCCGAAGGTGGATGAGCAGTCGAAGGAGCGGGTCGCAGGTGGAGGAGCTGCGAGAGGTGCTGGGACATGGAGTCGAGACGGTCGTCCTCAGAGACAAGATGGCTGCAGGGGGGCAGAGCTGCTGAAGCTCAGAGCGAGGGGAGAAAGTGCGGAGGTGAAGGGAGAGTGAGGAGGTGAGAGTAGGACAGATGAGCCAAGTCAATATTGGCCAGTTAGAAAGCAGGCCATAATGAACCAAAACACAGTGTGTATTTTGCCCACTAATTTATTTATTTAATCTTGTATGTCCGCAACATGTATGTAAATATCATTTGCCTGGAGTCCACCCTTAAATATGATGTGCAACTTGTTTATCTGTTAAATATGTCCTGCCCTATGTTCCTAGGGTGCAAATAATATGTACAATCACATAAATCACTCATTATAGTAAAACTACAAGGAAATTCAATTTCAGTATTTTCTTAATTATGGTTTTATTGTATACTTTATGCTGTA